AGAGCCAGCATCGCGTCGTGGCTGTCGAGCATCTTCGCAAGCGCTGCGTCCGCCGATTCTCCCTTACTACCGTTATATGAGGTCGGCCGGCGCAATGGGGTCGTATCGTGAGTGGGACTCGAGCATGGGGCGTGAGGTTGCGTCTCGGGACGTGGTGCGTATTCGTCCTCGGGGTCGGAGAAGTCTATTCCTTCTTCGATCGTGTCCGCCCGGGCTGATAGCGGTAGCGACGAATCGACCATGAGCGGAGGGCGCGCAGGGACCTGGAGGGTGGCGTAGTACGCCTCGAACCAGCGCAGGAGCTCGTAGATGAGCGTGTTGATCGGGTGCGCAAGGACTTCGTCTTCTACGAGCAGGATGCGGAGGGAGGACGTGGGGTCTTTGGGGAGACGGATTTTGCCGGTGGACATGGAGAAGAACTTGAGCGCGCTGCAGGTGTAGAAGGCGATGCCGTCGTCGGGCTCTTGCGCGTCGTCGAAGAACTGGAAGAGCAGGTGAGGGACGTGTTCGGGGGGACAGGTGTGTGGGAGGAAACGGATGGACGCGTGGAGGAGGACGTGGAGGAAGGACTCGAGCTCGTCTTGGAGGGTTGTGGGCTTTGAAAGAAGGGATAGGGCGTGTGCTGATGTGAACTGCCAGGTTCCCTGCGAGATCGAGAAGCAGGGGGTGAGTTACGATGACGAGGAACAACCAAGGACGTACGCACCCCGCGAGTTGGTTGACGCGCTGCTGGGGTCCCGGACGTCAAGTCCTTCGCCGATTCCCAGTCAATGAGCAGTCCGTGCCACCGATCCTTGTTCTTTGGAGACGGGACCAGCGATATGTTCCCTGCGCTGATCTCGCAATGCATGATCCCATACCTGCACGCTTTCTTGTGTGCTGTGGAGTTTCGACGATGTTAGTCAATCCCACCGCATTGAACGCTCCTTAGAGAGGAACGCACCGCGAAGACAGCAGATCAGAGCAGCGACGAGGTCGTAACCGCTGTCGAGTTCCGTCAAAGGTTTCCCGACCTCCTCGACGACGAGGCGGTAGTGCTCGCGCCGCCGGAGTGGATATATCGGCGGGCTCACGGTCGGACTGTAGCGGCACCACAAGTCTTGGGTGATCGTCGCCTGGCCGAGGTCGCCGTGGCATTTGAGAGTGGGGACGTAGTGAACTTTTTTGTCGTGGAGGTACTTAAGGATGTCTCCCTCTTTCCTGACTTCCGGATGCATCACGCGCCATGTATCCTTGAGGTACGACAGTGGTCCGTCGGGATCGTCGCGGTCGAGTGCTGCGTACCCTTTCGTGGCCCGACCGATCAGACACGGAGAGGAGTAGTTTGGCTTTCCAACGAGAAAGCGGCGTTCCTTGCTCTCGGGGTCGTTCTCGTCTCGGAGGGTGAGGCAGTACCACGGCCAGTCGGGATCGAGCGAGTCCTTGAAGAGCTTCGTGACGTAGTCGCTGGGGCCCGAGGAAGCCCGGTCGCGCATCATCTGCGCTTCGACGGAGTCGGCGGAGAGTCTCGTAGCCGTAGGGTCATGACCTCGCTGGGCGGCGTTGAGACGAGCGAAGCGCCCAAGAAACTCGATGAGCGGATTGGCGTTCGTCTTGAAGTTGAACGCGCTTGTGATGATCATGCCGGCGCGGTCGATGTAGACGAGACGAGCGGTGTCGGAGAATATTAGGACCATGAACTGGTGTGTACGATGTTGACGTTCGAAAACGGATTGCGCGTGTGCCAGAATCTCTCTGCGAGCTGTTTGATGAAGGCTGCTAGGCGGGCACCGGTCGACATTGTGGCTGTGATTGAAAGGGTCTGAATCGTTCCTGTGCTTGACGTCTATGACTAGCTCCACCCGTGACCAGTCTGTCAGAGGGTAGTCTCGCTTGGCGTGATCCTCCGGCTTTGAAGTGTCTCTACGCTGGAAGGCGCTATGCTCATCAGTTCCAACATCAACGAGGGCCTCACCGCCAGCACCACGATCACGCGGAGTATCATCAGCGGTCGTGGTATTCAAGGAGGCCGCCGCCTCAGTTTTGGCGGTCGGGGCGTGAGCGGCGGGATACAGGCCGCAGACAACGGCGTGCTGTGGTCCGGAAACTGTCGCGACGAACTTGAAGCCTGGACATAGCTGTGGCACGTCGTTCAGCAACATCACCTGTAGGGTACTATCAGTCATAATGGTCGTTATGCGCAGGACTAGGTTACCAAAGGGCCAAGCGGGTTGTATGCGTCGTTTGATAGGCGGAGATTGCGCAGGATATCGGGGTATTTCGTGAGTCTGCCTGTGCATGACACAGCTACGAATGATTCCAAGAATTGGTCAGGGCTGATCACGGTGGTCATGTACTCCATGGCGAAGGGTTGATGTGGTTATTGACTGTGGGCATCGGTGAGGATGTCAGTCATCGTAGATATCGAAGGGAGAGAACAAAGAAAAGTGTACTGCCAAGATATCCTCCTACCGTAACCTGGGGACAGTGATATATGCAAACTTGATGAGAGCTCGGAAGGACCCTGGTGGCAGGAGGTAAGGCTTGATGAATATGAATGGGCTCACAGGTTGGGCCAGTTTGGCTGCACCGGGATGGCTAAGCTGAACTCGTGAAGCGCTTACGCGGACGCTGCATGGTGCCTGCACAGCCGACCCACACATTTGTTCCATTCATTCCGCCGGTGCGCTGTACCATCCAGGGATTCATCGATATCCCTAAGACCACGGTATGCGGAGCGCGATGGACACCAGGTGGCCTCATGGCGTGAAGAGCTTCTCGATATCCAACCCATCTGTCAAAGCTACCTTCATTAGGATGCGTTCCGGGAGTTGCGCGCAGTATGACTTACTGGCGCGCTTACTGCGCGACAATAGATGAGCTTCCGCCCAAATACATCCCTGCGTAGGAGTGTGCACCCCCGGGCGTGGGAAAATGGCAAGCAGGGGCAAACAGGAACCGTGGCTGGTGGCTGTGGGGGAGAGAGCCAGACGCGGATTGCCCGAAACAAGCGCAGGACGGTCTTCGCTCCCGACGACCACCATCGACCCCCTCCCCGCCTTTCTCTCCCTCTCCTCCTCCCTCCTCTCTTTCTCTTCATCCACCATGGCCTCTCTGCTTGAGCGCATCAGTCTCCCTCCGGGCGCAGCGCCCTCGGTCGGCCCAGTCCGCTCAAAGTCGAATCGTGCCGCAGCATCGTCCGCGCCATACGTGCGTCCCCTCTCTCTCCCGCCTTCACGCGTCTTTCCGCTCATTTCGTATCCCCACACCTCCAGAACAAGAACAAGCGTTTGCCAAAGGCAGACGTGAACGACACATGGAAGCACGACATGTTCAACTCCGAGCCCCGCTCCCTCAGCGCACGCCTCACCTCCGCACCCACATCTGCCCCCAAGCTCAATCTCGGCATCGCAGACAAGGCTCTGCGGGACGCAATCGGCGAGAAGGGCCTCTCTATCAAGGGTGCAAGCTCGCGAGGGAACGTAGTCCAGGTCGCTGGTCTCGCGAGGGGTACAACGGCCGCCGACGTCGAGGTCAGTGCGACAACTTTGGACGCCCACTTTCCGTCCTGACACCCATTCAGGCCATTTTCAAGCGTTGCGGCGCCATCACCTCCGCCGTACTGCACTCCAACTCTCCGGACCCCATTGTTCGCTTGACCTACAAGAATGAGAAGGATGCCCAGGCCGCCGTCGCCAAGTTCCATGGCCAGCCCGCGGACGGACGGACACTCGAGGTCAAGATCGTCGGTGGTGTCAACGCGACGCTCTCGGGTCGCATCGGTGCTGCGCTTGTCGAGGGCAGCGTAGACGTTCTCATGGGCGACGACAACGCCACCTCTGGATCGTACGTGCCTTTGTTTCTGACAGCGGCCCTGTAGCCTCACCACAGTTCCAAAACAGGAAGCTCAGGTCGGATGAGCTTCTCGGGAAGGACGCACGGGCCCATGTGCTCGTCGCACCGCCGGGCGCAGACCCGAAGGACTATGTCCAGAAGCCGAACAGAGGGCGCGGCCGCGGTCGTGGCCGTGGGCGCCGAGGTGGCGCCGCGAAGATGGACGTTGACAAGTAAATGAACGCTAGGCGTTCTATGCTCTCTGTTCACTCACACAGTCGCGCTTCCGCCTTTGGCGATGACCCGAGCCGCGCAGGCCATTCTCAAGAGGAAGACACGCCCCTGGCTCTCGCCACACACTCGTCGGACATTATGTTTCTTCACCCGCCCTCTCCGAAGTTGTTATATATATTACGCGCCTCGCACACATCGGCCCCACGTACTCTACCGCCGCTACCGATCCTGTTCCCGTTCCACCTCGTCCATCCGTTTCTCTCTCGCTCGCTCGCTGTAGTCCTCGACACACCACATCACCACTCGCGATTCCCACCCCACCCCTCCTCGGTTTATGAAGTCCATCCCCGGAACGCGTGGCCCCGTCCGTTTCCGTCTCGTTCTCCTATCCAGTGTCCAGTGTCCAACGTCCATGCTGTCTCTGTCTCTCTCGTACTGTCGTACCGCGTCGAATGCAATGCGCACACGCCTTGTGCTTTTAGTGGACCATCACCCGTCCGACGTACATATGCGCCACCTCGCCCTTGCCTTGCCTTGCCTTGTAGCGTCACAGACTGGAGTGGAACGCGCTACGGGGCTTGTGCCTTCGCATGCGGTGTTGCGATCGTCGAGATGGGCACCACTTGCCCTCACCACCCTGCACCTGTACTCTTAGCGCTGTGTTGCAGCTATTCACACGTTGCGCTCCTGCCAGTGGCGCTCGTAACCTGTGCGTGGACGGACGGTGTCGGTACTGTGAAGTTCGCGCCGTGGTACTGTACTACGACACCCCACTGTCCATGCACACGCTCGCTCGTCTAGACTGTGCGTTCCTGAATGCAGAACGCGGAGTACAGTGCAGTAGCAGTGCAGTCCGACGACCTAGGGAGGCTCTCGAGCTTTGAGCTCTTCCTGTGGAGCGCAACGCGCTATAGTCGAATAGCGAAGTCTAAGGGATGGAAGGGAAAGGGCGCGGCGCTATAGTGTAGTGGTTATCACTTGGGATTCTGACGAGCGTTGAGGGTGTTCCCAAAACCCAGGTTCGAGCCCTGGTAGCGCCTTTCCTGTGCATGGCTTCCTTTTTTTTTGTTTATGGCGTTTTGTTTTTGCTTTTGGCCCTTTTTTTTACGTTGGTTGGGGCTTGCGGGGTGCGTGTGGGGAGGGTATGGGCGTGGTGGTGTTGGAGAAGGAAGTGCGGGGCGGGACTCAGTGGGAAGTGGGAGCGGCTGTGGATGTGAAGGCGTGATTGTTTATGCGTTGGGTTCAAATGCGTAGGCGTGGGTGTGCGTCGTTCTATATTCTGTGTTGGGTAGTTAATTAGCTCTTTTGGAGAATACGTGCTGGTGGGTATGGGCAAGGGGGGAAGTCCTGCTGGGGTAGGCGGGTCCGGTGTTATTGCGCATAACGAGCGAGTTGCCTGCGTCCGACACGAGCAGTGCCCTGCCCTAGCGGGAAAGCACGGTCCTAAGTCTATGTGTGTAGTACGTCTAACTCGCTGACGCTTCCTCCTCCGTCCTCCCGCATCCTCATACATGCACGAAACCACCCATTCTACGAACCCCCAAGCCTCTCCGCCCTCGGCTTGAAAGCAGCAGCAGAAGCGGCGGCGGGGGAAGGGGCGACCTGCGCACCGGCACCGCCGACGACGACGCCTTTCGTGCGGTTGAACCGCGCGATGGTCGTGTTCGAGAGCTGGAGGTGCTGCTTGACGAGCGCGGGCGGTGTGAGGGCGAGCCACTGGGTGGGGCGTTAGTGTGCGTTTGGTGAGAAGGGGAAGGGGGGGGAGGGAGGGGAGGAGAGGGAGAGGGAGGGCAGAGGAGAGGGAGAGGGAGGGCAGACCTGGGCGAGGCTGACGTCTTGGAAGACGTCGGTGTTGAAGATTTCGAGGAACTTGAGCGTCGTGTTGCCCGTGTTCTCGACGTAGTGGCCTGTCATATATGCGGGATTAGGGAAACTAGATGTGTGTGCAGGGGAGGGGGGGGGGAGCGTACCATATCCTGTCGGGATGTAGCTGATGTCGCCGGGCTGCGGGCAAAGTACCGTTTGTGAATTCATTGGTGCGTCGGTGTGAAGGCTGTGGGCTCACCTGGTAGTCGAACGTCTGCGCTATGGCGGTTCCGGCGAAGAGCGTCACGCGTGCGGTGCCCTCGCTGCAAACCCTCTCATATGAGAACGTGCATGGAGACCGTCACTCAACGTCGGACTCACAGGAAGAAACCCCACTCATTCTGAGTTGGGTGCCACTGCGCACAACCCATCAGCCATCCTCTCTCACAGCACACAGAGCTGTAACCGTAACCGACACTCACGTGCATCTCGCGCATCGCCCCGGGGAGGACCGTGATCTCGGCGACGGCGATCTGGGTGGAAACGTTGAACGTCGTCGAGTCCGCGATCTTGACCGTGCCGCCGGTGTACTGCGTCGGCGTCACCTGCGAGAACGCGTACGAGAACGGCTGGGGCACTTCGCCGGCGGGGCTCGTGGGGGGCTGTTGGTTGTCCGGAGGCGGCACTGCACGGCGAATATCATTGGTGAGTTGGGGGTAGGAGTGAGGGAGGAGGAGGGAGAGGGGGCGGACCACCGGGGAAGATGTAGAGCTGCGAGCCGGGGATGTCGTCCCAGTCGGAGATGTCGTCTTGGAAGTTCTTTGCGATCACTTCTTTGGGCGTGTGCGCGAGCCAATCCGTCAACTGTGTGCGAATTGTCAGACGTTGTGTCGCGGCTTTGCTTGCGTGAGAATGGTCGCTTACAAGGAGTGTGTCGTCGTCGTTGAAGTTGCCGTCGGGGAAGATCTTATATGGCCGTTGGGTTCCGTGCACGAGACGTAGCGGAGGGTGCGTACCAAGAGGAACTCTGTGCCTTCGGAGGAATCGTTTGTCGCCTGGAGCGAGTGCGGGATGCCGGGCGGGAAGTACCACAGGTCACCCTGGCGTACCGTCGCGACGTAGTTCCTCCCCAGCTGGTCCACGGAGCTGATCTGCGTCGAGCCCTGAAACGTGCCGAACACAGTCAGCAGATGTCCACTCTCTATGCTGTTCAATCACGTACACTGAGGACGTAAGCCCACTGCGAAGCGTATGTTCGCCGGAATCAGTATTGCCTGCGAAGGACGCAGATAGAGAAGGGATTGCTGACCTCGGCGGTTTGGTGCCAGTGAAGCTCACGGATCGCGCCTGACTCGAGACGCATGTTCACCCCGGCCATGGCTGCACACCAAGCGGAGGTCAGCGGGTTGCCAGTCCAAGGCCAAGTCAAGCCTTACCAGTAGCGATGGGCATCTGTTGCACTGCAGTGGGGGTGAGGGATGTGGCAGGTGGGAATTTAGGCGGGGACGTGCATACCATTCTGTTGGCGCACCCATCCGCCCGTGTTCAGCTGGATCTTGCTCAGGCTGAAAGGCCACTTGGCGTTTCCCCTGTACAGCATCCCGTGAGCGGATGTTCAACTAAATGGGGCGAGAGGACACCCTACACAGTGCCCTGGTCGGTCGTCGGCGGCGCTAGGATATCCGGGTTCTGCCTGTCGATGGGGATATTCTGTGGACCGAGGATGTCCGCGCCGAGCGAACCGCGCTCGGGCTGCGGGTCTGTGGTCGTCGTCTCGTTCCAGAGCCAGTAGTTGGGGTCGTCGCTGGCGTAGGGCACCGTCGGGCTCGGGAGGACGTCGGTGGTCGTCGACGTTGCTGTTTCCGCTTCGGCGATACTGGACGAGGCGGATAGGACGGGTGATTCGGATAGGACGTCGTTCACGGGGAGCGCGTGGATGAGTGTGCCGTAGAGGACGGCGCAGAGGACGGAGGTGAGGAATTTGCCCATCTCGTATCGGCTGGTTCGAATCGGGGGCAAAGGAGGAGGCTTCGAGGGGTGAGACGACGGAGGAGAGCGACTCGAGGTGCTGCTGCCGACTGTCCTCGACCCCCCGACGTTTTTATAGCTCGATGCCAACACATCCTGGCGCGTCGGTCAGATATTTTGAGCAAAGAAGTGTGCTCTGCAGAGTGAGCGGCGAGCGTCCCGCACCGCGCCGAGACGAATCCAAGCACGAATGTGGCTTCGGCCGCCCGCTCGAAGCAGCGCGCCGCATGCGCTCGTCGCGGCACCTGCTCGCGAGGGCTTCCTCTCGCGAGAGTAGAGACGTCCACGATGCGGAGCGCTACGAGTGAAGTACAGTCAAGCTCACCCCAAGATCCTCGGGGAGGTTAGTATGCATAGCCGGCTAGCCGAGGGGCAGCATCGTAGTGCTAGCAATGGTGATGTCAGCGGCAGTCTACCTAATTCCGAATGCGAGGACGCCTACTCACCATCGCTAGTCCGGCGCCGCCGTCGAGTCGGATCGCACCCGTCTCCGAATTCTCGCGGCGAGAGCGTTTGTGGCGGCCGCTGTGCACAAGGGTATCCGGATTTCCTCGCGCGGCGGCCGTGTCCATCAGCCACGCGAGCTTGGTTGACGGCCTTCGGTGCCGCAAGAAGCGATCCGGAGCCTTGGGGGGACGCTCGCGAGGCGGAGATGAGGCGCGTTCTACGTCTGGACATGACGGTGTGCACATGGACGCGCTTCCGGGACGCTAGGGTCCGGCTGGGAGAGGTGACGAGGTGAGGGTCGGCTTCCCTGCTGTTTGGGTGGCGACGCGGTGACGTCGGGAGAAGGTGGGATATGGGCGCTGGGTGCCGTATTGTACACGTTCGCGACACCTTGCCCTGAGGTTGTGGGTGGTACACAGCCGTCGACGCGGCATGATACGGAACAGACACCGCTTCATGCATCACTGCATCGCAAGTTGTGATGAACGATGGGCCAGGATTAGCACCTATAATCCAATTTCAGTACTGCGCGAACAAAGGGTAGCGTTGCGAACCTACGAGGATCGGGAGCATGCGCCTGGTGGTCGGGGATTGCACGCTCCGACCGAGCTAAAGCTCCTACTACCGGGTGCCGTCTGGCCTGTAGTGGAGTCAAGACTATAGATGATGGCGCGCAGACCTACAAATTGTGACCACATGTCGCCGTAGCGGGCATTGTGCACCGGAGAGGAGCATGGCGCCGGAGACAAGAATATATCAGAGTTGAAGTACGCAAGTAGGTCGCCCGAAGCAACTGTTGGGCCAGTGCACAGACGTAGATTTCGTCGGGCAGGTTGGACGGGCACGGGCTGCGTCGGAGACCGTGTCGGGCCTACAATACAGAAACTTTGGAACAGTGGAGGTAGATCGTAGGCACAGCATCACAAGTTGAGGCACAGAATCGAGAACCTGGAAGCGTGGCGGATGCTTTGGAACTCTCTGAGTGAGAGCTCGGGAGCTTGAGCAGGTGATGTTAGAGCGCGTTATTGTACAAGGCCTGATTCAACCCGAACGTGAGGTTGATTGAAATGCCTACAGAGGGAAAACACACGAGTGCTTGAGCTGCGAGCATGCACAGCAAGCGATACTTTTCGCACGATATGTCCTCCAAGTCGCAGGATTGTAGCGGAGTACTACAGCCGGCTAGTTTTCACCATTGCTTCGACAGCATGGTCTATAACGAGTCAGAAAGATCCTAATGATATGGACTCCTACAAAGTAGACCGGATAGTGAAAGATTACTTCATGAGCATATAGTCGCTTGCTACACTTCTATGCTCAACAGATCATTTCAAGGCCGGTCACCCAGCAATTGCGAGTTATACGCTCTGTGACCTCGGCGACACTCAGAGACCCGGGGTGAGGAAGGATTAAGGGGGGTATCGGATGAATACATGGTGGTGGTAAGAGAGAAAGGGAGTCCGACTGCGAGGCGCCCAAGGCTGTCTCTTCTTCCTCCTGCCACCATGTCGCCCTGCTCACACCTTCGCTGCTGGGCCGCCGTCGCCGTAGAGCGGGTCGTTTGCGACCCAGTCCAGGTGCTTGATGTTCGCGACGTGCTCCTCCTCGCCCGGCTTGCCGTAGCACATGTCCCAGTGCTCCGACCCGACGGGGTACGACCCGACCATCTCGAAGTTGCCCTCCAGGTCCTCCACCAGCCGATGCGAGACCCCTGCCGGGATGAGCACCGCGTCTCCTGCCTTTGCCTCCGTCACCACCG